CTTCTTTTTCCTTCTCCCAAGAACTTTCCAGATTCCTATATTTCAGTCTGTCCCTTTGCAGTAAATAGTGCCATCACTCCTAAAGCATTTTTACTTTATTGAATAGGATTCACTGCCCCCAACTGTTTCAGATGTAGTGTATAAAGCACCCCTCTATGCTCTGATAAAGTGGGCTTTGTTTGTGTAGCCCTCCAGAAAACAAACAGGTACTTTCATGAGCTTGAAGGAATCTGTTGAAGAGTCAAGGCCACTGCAGAAGAGGCTGCTTGTTAAATCTGCCTAAGAGATCAGGGACATAGTTCACTGAGTTCTAGGAGCTTGTGGAGGGGAGAAGTCTTGCTTGCAGAGCAGGGCAGAGGCGGGGAAGTGTTTACACAGCCAATAAAGCCCTTACCTTCAGAGGTTTTCCATGGAGAGGTTTAGCTGAGGAGGCAGACTACCAAGAGCTGAGTGGAGCTGAGCAACTCAGATAAGAGAAAATGTTTAACTGAGTTACTATTAATGGGGAAAATGTAGGAACGGTGTCAGTGTATGAATAAATGGACAGTGGAATCCATTTTTCCATATGGATGTCTAGTCCTAATTCGCATACTATACACCAAGACCAAAATCATCGGGAGACAATCAGAGCCCTGAATTTCTATAATGTCTTATTTTAATGCCGCAGGTACAGTGCCCTAAATGATCAACATTATTTTGTGAGACAGTGACTCACTATACAGCACAGATGCCCCCCATTTCAGATCCTCCTATATCAGCCTCCTTAGTGCTAGGATTACAGGCCTGCACCACCAATAACGATCAACATTTTTAATGCTAACAACTGTAACTCATTAATGGGTTTCAGCATATTAGATATTTAACACTTTTCATTCACTTACAGTAAACAACGACCCCCAAAAGTCATAGGATAGCTTTTTAATGAATATTAAAAAAAATAAAGATGACATCGTCGCATCATGAATGGTTTGTCTGAGAGCCATTAGGTTTTCACACACTTTGTTCTGTATTATTACAGGACCTGTTTTTAATGTATTTCTTTTTTTCCCTCTTTGCATTGATATTGTACATTTCTCTCAGATTCATAGGTATATTTTAATTGAACAGTTCAGATTTGATTTCTGATTTTCACTGTTGCAGTTCTGAAAAGCTCCCTTCACCTGAATATCAGGAAGAATACTCCTGCAGAGGTGACCATTTCCAAAGCCAAAACTACAGGAACGATTTTGAGTTCTTATGAGTTTTCTGAAAATTTTTCTGTATCCCAATCCCCCTTTTTCCTAACATAATATTACTGAACTCAGACTCAACATTCTGTAAAGTAAAAGCAAGACTGTTATATGTAATACCATTCTTTGATTTTTTTTCTGAAAATGAGCAAAATCAGATTTTTAGCATTCTTTCACACATATCTCATGTATTAGATAATTATAGACATATAATGTTTCAATACATGCAATTTAATTAGAAGAATAAATTTATATACCATTCTGCATTGTTTTTATTACAATATGATCTACAGACAGTTAATTCCTCTGACTTCTCTCTCTCCCTTCAGTAGACATTTCCCTTCCTCTAGTTTTCCAACTTCTCTTGTCATATTAGGTAATTCAATCATAGTCATTTATGCTGTTTTAAAAGGTACCATTACCATAGGACACCATGGCTCACAGCTGTAATCCTACCTACTCATTTTGGCTGGGACCTGAGGATCATGGTTCTTAACCAATCTGGGCAGAAAAGTCTATGAGCCAGAAATGGAGCTGTGGCTTGAGTGGTAGATCACTAGCCTTTAGCAAAAAGCTCAGGGCTCAGTTACAGTGCCCAGGCCCTGAGTTCAAGCCCTAGGACCAACCAATACACACACAAAACAAACAAACAAACAAAAAAGGACCTTTACCATAATGTAGTACACTTCTCTGGAGACTGAATAACTTGAGTTCTTTTTCTACTGGAGACCAGCCTGCCCAGTGGCTTCTGCACTGTAGGCTGCAGAGCCTCAGGTATAAGTAGAAAATGCCAAGCTGAACCTCCTGCAGGACTGGTGGATGAGCTGTGAGTCTCAGTGACGAAGGCACTTAGATCAGGGCCAGGGGCCAGAGGAGTCACCTCCCACTCATGGCAATAGGCCGGATCCCAGGACATAGTACACACCATCCAATGTGGCTGATGTCACCGGTGCTGACAATAGCAGCGGTAAGAATGGCTCATGTATGTGATACTTTCTCTACATTAAGTATTTAAGGCTTTCCCCCATTAAACTCAAACAGCAATACCATGCTACCATTCAGTTTCTTCACCAACGTTGAAACTCTAGCTGAGAAGCGCAGTTACCACATCCAAAGTCTGACTTGATAAACCCAGCTCTGAATGAATTCTGAGGAAAGGGGCCAAAGTCAAAGACCCATTGGTCTCCTCCCTCCTGATATATAGAGGGAGCTTTTCTGTCTCTGCATAAGTGAATCTCACACTTAATTTCACATGTCCACCCAATTCCCTTGTACTCTTCACGAGTTTTGGTCTCCCCCTTGGCAGTGTTTTCCCCAGACTCCTCCCCTCTTGTTATAATCGGTTATAACTTCAAGCCATTCTGTGTGGCAGAGGTCAGATTGTTCCTCTTCACTACCCTTGGGGTATGTGATAAAACAGGCTGCATTGGATTTCAGGATTGTTACCCATCCCCGACTTGGGTTCCATTCCTGGGAATCACTCTCTGTAAGTATAGTTACCAAAAAAAAAAAAAAAGAGTTTTTCTACAGTCTGTTTTTAGCAAGATTAAGCTTTGGTATTGAATTTCCTGAGTGGAAAAAAAATGGATTTCTATGAAAAAATGTCAGGTATGATTAGTTTTCTTTCTTTCTTTCTTTTCTTTTCTTTCTTTCTTGGTTTTCTGGCTGGTTTATAACAACTCTTGCAGAAATGAAATTTTGTTTACCTCTGTTGACCTGCCTAGATTTTAAACTCCTTTAAGCATAATATAAATTGCATTGTTTATAAATTTTAACATGTAACTTTTAGTTAGACATCCTAGCAATGTTTTGAAGAAAACATAAATCCTAACAATTGTATGCCTTAAAGCTGGTTTTCTGCTTATGGGTTTTATGTTTATTATCCCAATTTGATTGTTCTTGAAACATACAGATCAGGACAATCCTCATCATTTCAAAATTCCACTTATATGGGAATATGTGCATATTTGTTTAGAAAATTTGTCTTAACTATTTTGCAATTTTCATTATAATTGTGTTGAATACTCTCCAAATTTTTACTATAAGATATGATGTTTATTGGAAAAGAGAAGCCCTGAAATCCTTATTAAAAGTTGTTTTTCACCATAAGAATATAGCACAACTCTTAACATTTTTTCTCAGTGTAGCAGAATTTGTGTGTGTGTGTGTGTGTGTGTGTGTGTGTGTGTGTGTGTGTGTGTTTGATTTCACATAGGCCTCTGATGTTAGGGAAGGTAAAATAAACTTTAAGTAATACTCCAGAAATCGAGAGTTTTGGTGTGTGATTTATACTTGGAATCTAATCCAGGGAAGCACTGATGGTCTCAGAAGTTGAATCTACCCAATAGCTATAATTCGGGTATATTCTGATCTATAGTGATGACTATATTGTCTAATACTAGTCATGATTCACAGTTGTGAGCATTAAAGAACCAGTTACATTAAAGAACCAGTTACAGTCAATGCATATAAAAAATGATCTTTTTATCGTCTATGACAACTAAAGTATGATAAATATTTCTGAGAACCAGATCAAAGTAATGACATGAAGTGGTCTAAAAAGAATCAAGGAAGGAAACAAAGATAGAGATTCAGTTTGGAAATTGTCAACCTGATTTCTAGTAACGTGTGTGAGCACCTTCTCAGAACGACTTCGACATATTAAAGAAAGGCACACACTTTGGAAAAAGCTAAGTCAGCTTGTTATTTTGTCTGCCTTGCAGTTGGGCTGGTTTTCTCCTCCTTCTCCCACAGGTCTGCCTTTCACCAAATGCATTTGTTTTTATGACAGCTTTACTTGAAATACAGTCACCTCACAATCTTTGGGGAGTTTCTTTACAGAAAGGAGAGCAAACTTGCCTGGTCAGAGGTGGTAGTAATTATGGAAACCCACACCCGACCTACACTTCTTTCCTATGGAGTCTCCTATTCAGGAAAATTACTTCTTTCCTAAATTTGATATATATATATATATATATATATATATATATACTGACGAAGCTGATGAAACACAGCCAGAAATTTCTAAACTTGAACAACAAAATCATCCATGCTTCCTTACAAAATATTCTGTGCTGCTTCTGGATTTTACTTTTAAACGGTGAGGGAAAATCAAGCCTAATTCCTTGCATACTTGCAAGCAAGTGCTGGACCACCGAGCTACATTGGCAGCTTGGGTCTCAGCATTGGTGTTGGGTTGTGGCTTTTGATTTTGGGGTGTTTTTGTTGCTATTGTTGTTCTGTTGTCATGGGGCTTGAACTTGGGGCCTGGATGCTCTCGCTAAGCTTTTCCACTCATGGTTATCCATCTACTATTTGAGCCACAGCTCCACTTGTAGCTTTTTGGTAGTTAATTGGTGATAAGACTCTCACAGACTTTCCTTCCTGGGTTGGGTTTGAACCACGATCCTCAGATCTCAGCCTCCTCAGTAGCTAGGATAACAGGCATAAGCCACCAGCACTGGGTTTCCATTTTATACAGAGTTCATTTCAGGTGAAGACACCTCTCCTTGGCTGTTAGTAGGCATACCCTAGATGTGTTGTGTCCATGATCAAACCAACTGTAAGACTTGTATTTGAAGAAGTGTATTAATTATCACTTGATGGGCTAGCTTTGAATAGATGGGGTTATATAACAGATTGATTTCTTTTTATTCTTTCAAACCCCCCTTTTTTTTATGTGTGTGTGATTTCCCCCCTGCCTAGACCTGGTTGACCGTTTCTGTGAGCAGGTCCTCAGTTTTTTACTTTGTCCCTACTTTCCTGTCCTAGCCCCCTCTTCTCCTGGTGTCGACTCCGTCCCCTTGCAGCGCACAGGAAGCCAGCATGGGCCACAGAGCGCAGCCACAGCCACCTTCCAGCGGGCCAGCTACGCCGCGGGCCCGGCTTCCAACTACGCTGACCCCTACCGACAGCTGCAGTATTGTCCCTCTGTGGAGTCTCCATACAGCAAGTCCGGCCCTGCCCTCCCGCCCGAAGGCACCTTGGCCAGGTCCCCGTCCATCGACAGCATTCAGAAAGATCCCAGGTGGGTGAACTCTTTGTCTCCCTGAGATGTTCAATGATGCTTTACCACAGAGTATTTTGAATGCCGTTATCGTCAAAAACGAATCCCAGTTACATTTGTGACACTGACTAAATGTGAAAGCGTTGTCTTTTCTTAGGGTTTATTCTCTGAGCTTGGGCCTCTAATGTGGGTATTCCTGTTTTCTTCTGTGGTTCAGTACCAAGATAGGTAAAGAAACAGAGATGACAATTGCCGTGGGTGTCATTTGTAGGTCATTTCATGAGATCTGGAGTTGTCTTTCTTACAGTGGAAGCAAACAAGAGGCCAGGAGATGAGTGATTATCTCAGTCAGGTGCTTTACGGTATCATTGGAAGCATTCTCTGTCATTGCGTATTCTTCTATTTATTAGAATGCCAAGGCATTCTTCCTGAATACTCTAAAAACTTTATAAGCTCCATATTACCTTCATTTCTCTCTGTCTGCACATAAACATTAGAATAAAATTGTTTGGGAATTGATAACCAAAAAATGTGGAATAGTTGATTAAAGAAACTTACTTTTGGGTATTTCTTTTTCTCTTTCTTTTCTCCAACAATGGAGAGGATTAAGCAATGCTCTATTTCTCAAGTTGGAATTGATTCCCTGTAGGGGTAAATAATATTTTATTCATAGCCACTGGATTTGGGCAGATAGAGCCCCATAAATATTATATATGTATATAAATTGTATATATATATATTATACATATAATATTTATACACACATACATATATATATATATATATATATATATATATATATATATATATATATATATATACTCTGTATCTCTGAATGCTACAGATACATCAGATTTCTGGTGTTTCCATATGGTAGGGCATGTTGTCTGATTGTGGTGATAAATTTAAAATCTGTCTTGATGAATTTTCACTGACTGAGCTTATGGACTCCTGTGTGCTGTATTGAGAAGTATCCATAGAATCCTTTACAAAAAGAAATACTAATACCAATGTGAAGGGCAGAGCAAACTTATGGTATTCTTTAAGAAAGCCAATGTAGTACAAATCAAATCCACTTGGAAGGTCCTTGCTAAATACTGTATTGGGTACAACCTCCATTATAAAATTGGATTTTAATAAGTGCTCACTGTTTAATCTGAGAAATGAGAGGCATGTTCAGGGTACTGGTTTTCTAGATTTCAGAGTCAATAGAACTTTCTTCTGAAGTCTTGATACTGAAGCCCGGCCTTAAATTTTAAGTATTCTTGCTTAGAATATTCTTCAGATTATAACTCACCACTATTTTAAATATTTTTATTCCTAATGCCCAACTGAAAATGCATAGAAGTTGAACAACAGTCAACTCTTAAGCAGTGCTAAACTAGAAAAATGTATCATTGAATTGGCAATACTCGTATTTAACATTGTGTATTGAAGTTGAGAGTACTTTTTATTTTGAATGAGGGTCTTGCTTTGTAGCCCCAGCTGGCTACATAATTCATGATCCTCCTATCTTAGATTCCTCAGGGCAGGGATTACAGGCATGTACCACACATGAAAATAAACTTTTTCTCCAATAGAAGGATTTTTAGTTTTCAAATGTGTATTAATCATTTATTTATCTTGAAATGTCAGAAGTGTGCTATCCAGCATTCACTGCATGAGACTCTCCGAGTTGGAAGAGCTCCTGAGAGTTTTAAATTTATTTATTTAAGTCAGCTGCACGCCCACACCACCTCTGCTTTAGTACCTCCAGCATCAGCCCCTCTCCATCTCTTCTGCCCTTCTGCTTTCTCTCATTTTTCTATATAACCCAAACCATGCACACTCATTTATTTTGATACAAAATCTCTGTGCTTCTTTATTTATTCCCTGACCTTGTACCAAGCATGCGCCAGTTCCCTCTACAAAGAATGGGCTTGGAAGAGAATGACTGCAGTTCCCACCCTTTGTGTCCAGGACTCCTGCCCCTGTGCTCACTGTCAGCAGCCTCTGGGTGGACCCCAGTGGACAGTTCCTCTCCTATGTCTCATTTCTCAACAACAAATTGAGAAAGAGAGCAAGTGTGACTTTGTCCAGCCTGGGTCTATTATGCGTTTTCCTCATAATAAGATGATGATTACATTTACAATGGTCCATTACTGTTTTAATAATGATGATAATTAAAATCAATTAGTTAGTATGTCTCATATTCAGCATGAAATATTTTATATTTATTATTTAACTGAAACCTTTCCAGGTTGCTTTAAAACATTAAAAAGGAACATGACTTTTTGCAATACCTGTTTTACATATAGGCCAACTGAATCTTGGAGAGCTAAAAGTATAACCCAAATCTGACTTTTTTTTTGAGGTACTGGGGATAGAATTTGGGGCCTCAGATTTGCTAATCAAGCGCTCTGTTACTTATTACATAAGCAATTTCCTTGCCTTCTGCTTTTTTTTTTTTTTTACTTTGCTTTAAAACCAGGGTCTTGTGCCTTTTCCTAAACTATCCCTGCCCTACAGTCCTCCAATCTCTGCCTCCCCAAGAAGTGATTATAGGTATCAACCACCATGCGTGGCCTATTTCTGCAATAGAGTCTTGCTGACTTTTGGCTTGGACTGGTCTTGAACTTCCATTCTGTCATCTCTACCATGTAATTACCTGGGATTATAGGTGAGAGCTGCTATGACCAGCTGACTGACAGATTCTCTATTTCTGACTGCTGTGACCATAGTAACAATATTCACTATACAATCAAGTATAATACCAAATCTTTTTCTCATTAGCCTACTACAAAGCTATGGGTGAATTATACCTAACCTCAGTTTTAAAGTGTTATTTTCAAGTGAGGTAAGAGACTTCCTACGCACTCCTTGTGAAAGGACTTTCGTTATTTGACACTACAAAAGTCTTTTCTGGGTCCCAGGGATTTTTTCAGTGTAATTATTCTCAGCCTTTTTCACGTCCCTTAGAAATTTGAGAGTCCTAATATGTGTTCCATAGAGTTTCTTAGCGGCATATCCAGAGCTATCCCAAGGGTACAGCCCTCATTTTTCTGGGCCCTTCCCTCCAGATCCAGCTGAAGACACTAGATATGGTGTGTATAACTTTAACATGGAAAGTTCTAGGCAACCCTACAGGTGTGACACAAATGGGTGTGAGAAAGGCACACTTCCATGTGTCTGAACAGTACAGTACGGTCACACAGGTATGATAAGGAAGCATTGAAGATCACCAGCCTGGGAGCACAAGCCAGGAGCGGTAGACGGTATTTACACATGATGAAAAGAGAGAAAACTTTTTGAGTAAAGATCTCAGGTAGAGAGGAAATGGCTGGAGATCGGGTGAGGAGGCCCCTTTGAAATTCTAGGCCTCGGCTCTGCAAGAACACAGAGCAGGCGGAGGACAGCACCTCCGACTCCCCATCATCCCGCACCGCATCCAGGATTGTGTTTGGTAATAAACTATGTTCCCAGTGCACAAATTTTTCAGGGGCTGTTGTCTTAATCTGTTTGCTACCACAACAAAAATACTCCAAGCAGAGCAACTTATAGACAAGAGACGTTGGCTTCTTCATGGTTTCAGCCTTGGAAGTCCAAGGTGCACATGACAGAAGCTTGGTTGCATGTCTAGTAGGGTCCTTTGCTCACAGATTGCATCTTCTTACTCTGTCTCTTCACGTGGAAGGGGCAAAGCCATTCTTGGGAGTCTCTTTAAAAAGGAACTAATCAGGGCATTACTCTTAGCCTTAATCACCTCTCTAGAAATGCTCCCTGATGGGTACTATTGCTCTGATGATTGTATTTCAGCATATGCATTTGTTGAGGGCACACCCTCAAATCATCACAGCTATCCTAGCAAATTATCACACACTGGCTGGCCCTCACTAACAGACATTTCTTCTCATAGTTCTACAGGCCAGAAATTTGGAATCACCGTGTCAGAAGTCCTATTTTCCTTTCAAAGGTTCAAAGCAAAGCCTTGCTTATTCTAGCTTCTGGTGGCTCTGACATGCCTTGGCTTGTGGCTGCATTGGTTTAGTCTTATTATACCTTCTCATCTCTCTCTCTCTCTCTTTCTCTTTTCAGAGGATACCAGGCATTGGGTTCAGGGTCTCCTCTAATCCCTTGTGGCTTCATTTAATTACATCCGAAAAGACCTTGTTTCTAGAGTCATATTATGAGCTCCTGAGTATAGCATTCAGCTGACTTACCCAGGCTTACCATAACACAAAGATACTATGGGCACTGTAAAACAGATACACACTGAAAACAGACCTCAAAGCAGGTGTGTTAAAGATAAACCATGCTTAGATGTCCTACTTCACGGTACATTGTAATCACAATAACCTTCTTTGTAAAGAGTAATGTGGTCTGATGAGAAAGCACAACAGAGAATTAGGTGGTTGGCATCTTCATTACTGGTTACCAAAGCTGGCACACGTGGCTCCCGGCTTAGATCGATGGTGGGCTGGGCATGGCATCAGCTCTTGACCCAGCTGCCATTGTTTCTGAAGAGCATGAATTTAAAGCAGGTAAGTACAATTTGAACCTCACATGGACCAATACACGTCAGTGGTAGGGTGCCTCGTGCAAGGCTGGAGGACAGTCAAGAGTGTTCTGGCACATTTCTCCCTATTAAGGCTTACCACTGTCCAAAATGTGGGCCAATGAGAGCGTCATGGCCAACCCAGAGGGTTGGGTGATGCTCGGGGGGAGGGGAGGCTTCCAGTTCCTTATTTTGTTTAGTTAAATAGAGGAGTCTACATGCTGGTGTTCTCTCCACTCACCTCTTCGCTCAGCCGTGAGGTACCCTCTGTCCCCTACATGGGTGAATAGTAGCTGGGACCTGTCTTGTGAAGGACTTCAGACTCAAAGGTGGAGAATTCTTGCCTGAGTATGACTTGAGGCATGGTCTTATCTGCAATGACCTCATTGTCCGTGAGGTGGGGCGCAAGTGATGATGGAGTACACGAAGACCTTAATGTCCAGGAGATGCTTCCTCACACAGGGAGGATGTGTGTGACCTGTGGCGT